GGGCCACGGGTTCTTTGGTTATAGAGATCAAGGCAAGTGTTTTCCTTGCTTGGAGGAGCTCAAGTTCACGGACATGCCAGAATGGGAAGAGTGGTCTTGGGCTGATGATCGACAGTTGTTTCCCTGCTTGCGAAATCTTGAAATTGGAAGATGCCCGAGGCTTAAGAGGTTGCCTTCGCTCCCTCTTTCACTTAAATCATTGTCATTATGTCAAGTCGGGACGACAGAAGTTCCAAGGTTATGGACAAAAATCGATGGAAGTAGCAACAGTATGACAGTTTCAGAATTAAAATTATATAGTCTCGAAAAGGTCGAGCTGAAGGACATCCCAGAATGTGAGGGACTCCCTTGTCTTGGACAACTGCCGAGTCTCAAGAATCTTTGCATCGAGAGAATGCCAGCAGTGAAGAAGGTGGATGATGGATTCTTTGGTTCTAGAGACCAAGGCAAGTGTTTTCCTAGCTTGGAGGAGCTCACGTTCACGGACATGCCAGAATGGGAAGAGTGGTCTTGGGTTGATGATCGACAGTTGTTTCCCTGCTTGCGAAATCTTGAAATTGGAAGATGCCCGAGGCTTAAAAGGTTGCCTCCGCTCCCTCCTCCACTTGAAACATTAGAAATAGATGAAGTCGGATTGACAAAACTGCCAGGGTTATGGGAAGGAATCCATGGAGGCGGCAGTTGCATAACTGCTTCTCTTTCAACATTGACAATACGAAAATGTCCAAATCTAAGAAATCTGGAAGAAGGGTTGCTATCGCACAGCTTACCAAATATCCATGACATTGAGATAGCGGAATGTGCGGAACTCATGTGGCAGCCGGTGAAGGGATTTAAAGAACTTACCTCCCTTGCGAAATTGGCAATCCGCAGTTGCCCGAAGCTCTTGAGCATGACGCGAGATGGGGACAATGGCATCCTCCTTCCACCCTCAATCGAGGAACTAGTGCTGTCTGACTGTGGGAATCTGGGAAAATTGCTACTGGGCCGCCTGCACAACTTGACCTCACTCACTCGATTGGAAATAGGCGACTGCCGGTGCATAGAGTCTCTTCCAGCAACGCCGCTGCTTCACCTGAAACGACTTCAATATCTGAAATTTTGGAAATGTGGTGAGCTGAGATCGAAAGACGAGTTGTTGCTGAATGAAGGGAATGAGCAAGTGGAGGGTTCGTCGGTAACTGAATTATGCATCGACGACACAGCCCTGTTCAAATTATCGCTCTTAAGAAGGAGACTTCCATCCGTCCGTGCTCTCAGAATCTCAAACTTTCATCGAGCGACGATGTCTGATGAGGAGGAGCAGTTGTTGCGAAGCCTCACCGCTCTCAGAGTGCTAGAATTCGATGATTGCAAGAATCTACAATCGCTACCGAGAGAGTTGCATGCCCTTTCCTCCCTCCGGCTTCTATCAATAATTAGATGTCCGGAGATTCAGGCGCTACCGGAGAAGGGGCTGCCGATGTCCCTCAAGAATCTACATTTCCGAGGCTGCCAAGCGAGGCTGACGGAGCAACTGCAAAAACACTTGGCCGAGATTAAGAGCTCGGGTCGATATGAAGGTACATCACATCCAACTATTGCTTCTCCATATCGATACCGTTGGTTTTTCGTTGTTTTCAGTTGCTTTTCCTTCCGAGTCTCTGACACCACTCCGTAATAGCTAGATTTTGTTATCCAAGAACATAAAACTCAATACAAGACTTAGTAAGGGTTTAATTGTAAAAGGTGCATTTTTACGATGAATCCTCAACTATATTTATTTTTTTTATGACTAGTTAATGACATTTTTTTAAAACTATAATGATTTATGATATGATATATGATTTTAGTTGTATTATGCTTTTATAATGAAAGTATATTTAAATATATGTTGCTTGAAAAAAAAAGTATGATAAGCAATTTATTTAGCATTTAAAATACATATACATTTTAATTTTTGTAAATTATATGTAAACAAAAAATTGATATTTATGTATGTTTTAGAATGCATGCATCGAAATGTTTAAATGATTCTTATGTTTAAAAAAATACTTAATTATGATAAATTTTGTTTGTATGTGAGTTACAATGTTTTCTTTGCTCATATAATTTTTTTTTAATTTTCAGATACATGGAGTAGCTTGGGTTATGGTTTTAAGAAGCTTGCAAGATGGAAGTTACGTCAAACAGCATTGAACTTTTAGATTTCTTTGTATATGTGCTATTTGGATTTGAATATTATGAATTTTTAAGGAGTTATTGAATTTGCTGTATTTGTTGTGAGTGGATTGATTGTAGATTGAACTATGTAATAAATATTAC